TATTGAACAAGTTAACATGGCTGGAGGTTTTCCTGGACAACCTCAAGGTAAGTATGATCCGTTCTCCAATACATATAATCCTGGATGGAGGGATCACCCAAACCTTAGCTATGGGAACTCACAAGGGAACCAGTTTGTTCAGAATCGTTCTAATTTTCAACAGTATAGACAACCATTTCCTTCAAGACAACAACCGACCCAAGGCTCTAGCTCAGGTATGAATCTAGAAGATATTGTTAAATCTCTTGCTACTAACACTTTGCAGTTTCAACAAGAAACACAACTATTCCAACAAGAGACAAGAGCTAGTATTCAAGAAACAAAGGCTAGTATTCAAAACTTGGAAAGACAAATGGGCCAACTAGCAACTACGGTTAGTCGGTTGGAAGCACAGAATTCTGGCAAACTACCCTCTCAAACAGTTGTTAATCCTAAAGAGAATGTAAGTGCAATTAATGTTGAAAGTATGTCGCTGGAAAAGAATGTTGATTTGAATAAGGAAATAAGTGCAGGTATCATTGCCAACAATAAAGAGAAGTCCCAAGGTAAGCTTTCTTCTTTTTCTGATTATGAACCAGTACCCCCATTTCCTCAAGTTCTTTTAGAACCAATAAGAGGAAACTCAAATAATGATCTGTATGAGACCTTTCGTGAATGTGATACTAATAAACCACTTTTAGATTCTATGGAAAAAGTACCTCGCTATGCGAATTTTCTAAAAGAGGTACGCACTATGAAAAAGAAACGAAATAATGAAAGAATTGAGGAAGTGAAAGTGCAAGAGAATGTCTCTATGGCTAGTCAAAGCAATCTTCCTGAAAAGTGCAAAGACCCAGGTATGTTTACTATTCCATGCATGATAAGTGGGGTGAAATTTGAAAATGCTATGTTAGATTTAGGAGTTTCTATTAATGTCATGCCATATTCTGTTTATGCTTCTTTAAATCTTGGACCCCTGAATAAATCTAGTATAGTAATTCAATTGGCTGATGGATCTACTACATATCCTAGGGGTGTGGTTGAGGATTTGCTTGTTAAAGTTAATAACTTGATTTTTCCTGCTGATTTTTATGTCCTTGATATGGAAAATAATAATCAAATTTCTCATATTTTGTTAGGAAGACCATTTTTAAAAACCGCAAAAACGAAAATTGATATTCATAGTGGCATACTTACAATGGAGTCTAATGGTAAATTTGTGAACTTTAATATTTATGATACCATGAAATCTCCTAGTGATGATAATTTTGCAATTTTTGTTGATTCCTTGAAACTTGTTAAATTTAATGCAATTGCTTCTATTGAAAATAAAGAAGAACCAAATAATAAATCATCTTTGAGTCCTAATCTGCATGAAGTGGCTGTTTCTTTGAATACTCATAATCATCGAAGGTACTCAAAAAGACAATGGAAATTTAAAGATATATCATAAGTCGAGCCAACGACGATAAACAAAGGCGCTGCTTGGGAGGCAACCTAAGGTGTGTTTGTTCCATTTTTATTTCATTTTATTTTATTCCCTTTTTCTGCATGTTTTTATTCAACATTGGGGACAATGTTGGTAATAAGTGTGGGGGAGGAGATTTAGTTTTATTATTTGTTTGCTTAATTTAGTTTTATTGTTTGTTTGCTTAATTTAGTTTTATTGTTTGTTTGCTTATGTCAAAAAAAAAATTTATTATTATTTGTTTTCTTATTTCATAATTTTCAAAAAAAAAATATTTTACTATTATTTTATGCAAAATAAGTATTACTTTGAAAAATTATTATTATTATTATTTTTCCTTTCTTGGAATTCATGACATGATTGAATAAATAGTTTGGAAAATTGTGATTAGTTTGTTAGCATTTCCTGTTTGATATGTAGTGGCTATATTAAGTAAGCAATAAACCTGTGAGATTTTGAGCCATTGACCGACACTTCGGTCTTAATTTCTTTCTTTTGTGTGATTTCTTCCATAATTTTGTTTCTATAGAACTTGCCTTGATTCTCTTTTAAAGCTAATTAGACCATGCATGATTCAAATGTGATTAAGGCCATTATTTGACTTTGAGCCTCACTAGCCAAATAACCGGTTTGTCCTATGATTTATTTCCCTTTGTTAACCACTTTGAGCTTTATGGCCATTCCCTTCTTTATTTTGGACCACATTACAAGCCTTTTATGTCTAAAATAATGCCTTCACCCAGCTGAATAACTAGTGGAGCAAATTTTGGATTATTTTTTGTAATCTACGTGAGGTTGGGAAGGATAAGTGTGGGGGAGATCACTTACTCTTATTAATATGATTGAGAGTGAGGTGAGTTGTATCTTCGTTGCCAATATGTCGTTGGTCTTCTATGAAAAAAAAAAAAGAAAAGAGGAAGCAGCTCACGATTAAAAAAAAAAAAAAAACATGAAAAATTGAAAAATGAAATGGAAAAATGAAGAATATACGTTTGAAAAAAAGAAGAATATTGCTGAAAATTTATGAGAAAATGAAAAAGAATGGGAATTTGATTTTGAGTTGAAGTTACTTCTAAATAAAGGAAGTAAGGGGAAATTCTGGTAATACTGAGGAAGCATTCTGTACCTCAATGGGATGTGTTTTTTGATTGGAAATTGAGGGTATTGGATTACTTGTATTTATTTGTTCCTCTAGTTTGAAGCTTTTGTTTAAGCTAATTTCCTAAAAATTCTCTACCTTAACCCTAGCCCCATTACAACCTGTGAAAAGTCCATATGATTTGTGTCATGCATGACTCTTGTAGTGGTGATTGAGAAGATATGCAAGCCTATGGTAGATCAATTTTATAGGAATGAACTTGAGTGAAAGTTATACCCATCAAACACTTGAGTGATGAGTGATATTCCTGTGAGGGCTTACTTATTTAGTTTTCTCCATTTTCAAACAGGGTGCTAACTTATTAATTGCAGGGTGCTTCAGATTGTTGTTCATGATATGTTATGAGTTTTGGGAATTTCATTTCTATTTACTTCGCAAATAATATTTTTGCTTGGGGACAAGCAAACGTTTTAGTATGGGGGAATTTGATAAGCATATTTTACACTCATATTTTAGGTACATCTTTATAATAATTTTGCATTAATTATTTAGTATTATCTAATAATTAGTTCTTTTTATATATAATATATAATCTATTCTTATATAATATATAATATATATAATATATAATATATAAGAATACGTACTACTCCATTTCCTAGTTTAATATATTTAGCGTGCTATATACTAAATATATATATATATAATATATTAATAGCTAATCCATTTCCTATCCTAAAGATAAAGAAACAAAGTAATAATATTGTTTGATTTCTTCTTCAGGGCGTGCGGCAAATGCGGCGCAACTTTGGTCGACGGAGTCGTGCGGCGAGAAACAATAGGAATTGAGCGGTAGAAATTAATTTAGGAAGTATATAAATAGTAGAAGTTTTCTATTATAAAATGTTCATTCTTCCCCTCTCGAATATTCTTTAAGGTTGTTATCAATGCCCATTCGCGGCTAATTTCTTGTTTGGTTTAGTGAATTGAAGCCCCGGAGTTCACAACGCTGTAAGGTTATTTATTTATTTTTATTATATATTTTTTATGCATTTGAGTATTAAATATTCTTCTAAGTTATTTGAAATAATTGTGTCATTTAATTGCTAGGGAGGCCTACAAGTTATTTATTTGATATAATTATTTGCTATATTAGATAATGTTGTGCTACAAATTATTCTAATATTCAGTAGCAACTGGGTTAATTATTGACGGCTTAGTGATAATTGGACTCGGGAAGAATATTTTCCTAAATTAAATGCAACCGCTTGTGCTTGTGTTATTTAGTTTGTCGGTTTTCCTAGTTCTTATTGCTGCTATTAAATTAAATCTATAGCGCTTGTCTTAGGTTATTTAGTAGTTAGTGGTAATTAAACCGTTTGTGCTTTATTTACCTACAACTAAGGGAAAACAGAAATGAAATAATTTCACGACAAATATTCAATTGCATATTAATTACTTTATTAATCAATGATCAGTGTTGAATTCCGGTGGAGGATCTTTACTAACCAAGGTCTCCTATTATAAGTGTTTTCGATATATTATTTTCATTGCTCTATTCGTTCAATTAAATTTCTTGTTTATTTAAATTCTCTTTTATTTTATCTTTATTCTCGATATATTCCAAACCCCCCTATCTTTAATTTGAGCACAAAAGTTAAACTAGTTACTCCTCGTGGGATCGATCCTTACTCCCGCTACTACGTTTGTAAGGTTTTAATTTGGGAGCCTACGACAGCTCACCATATGTATACTGATAATATTTCTATTTTAAAATAATAATTAATTTACTTTTAAAAATAATAATTCTTAATTGTATTATAATTCACAGTTAAAAGACAATACCATGGACAGTAGTGTTGTTCCAGATTCTTTGACTGCTGATTGCAATAAGGCCTTTACAATAGCTCGCAGTTTCGAACAGAATCTTGTGATCCATGTGGCTCGTGGTATTATGGGCAAGATTGATTATGACTTGCACCTTGAAAGTGAGGAGATAATGCGTTTCTTAAGTATGGACACCGTCGATGTTTCTCTCGTTCAGTTCTTTATAAGGTAATAATAAGTTCTTTATGATTATTTATGCATTTATAATAGTTTTATATTTATATAATTGGTAATCTATGTATAATTATATTGGTTGTGTTTGTGAATAGGGGTATTTACATCAATTTTGAGTTGGCATCAAAAGACACGTATGGCTTCCTAGATCCATATTGGATTCAACCAAAAATGAATATATATAATTACGTTTAATATAGCCCCATACGTTCTCAAGTAAGTTTTAATTACGTTTTAAATTAAAGTGCTTATATATAATATATTTTTATTATATATTATATTTACTTATTTACTTATAACTAATAAATTACTTATTTGTAGTGAGCATTGGATGCTGATGGCGATTTGTCCTAGATTAAATGAAATTTTTTGGTTTGATTCACTTGGTCATGGGCCGCGTGAAGACATTAAACATATAATGGGAACGTATGTATATTTATATAGTGAATTAATAGTTATTATTAAACTAGTGATGCCAAATATTTACATATATTTTATGTCTTATATGAATAGGTGTATGGCTGCAACAAGCATGATGAGTGGAAAGAAACAATCTCGTCCACCGAAATGGACTACATGTTTGGTAAGTACTTCTTTCACTTTGTAAAACATGCAAACGTATTGTTTTTTATTACTTTTAGCTAATTTTATTATAATTCAAATGTAGTGTCCTATACAAAAAGGAAGCACCGAATGTGGTTATTATGTGATGAAATTCATGTGGGAAATTGTTTCCAACAACCTAAGCAAAGGAATGGATAAGGCAAGTAATTTAATAATACATATTTCTTCTTCAAATGTTGCTTAAAATATTTGCTTATTTATTATTTTTATTTTTTTTGAACTTTGTAGATTTTGGAAAGACAAGGAAGATTGCCCTACAACAAACAAGAGATTGATGACGTTAGAAACAAGTGGTCGAAGTTTCTTATTGATTAATGGGTTAATAAAACGTTGCTCAATTGATACTACTTTATGTTTAAAACTATTTTGTGTTTATTGGGTTGATGTTAATTAGTAGTTTTGTTGCTTGAATTAGTTGATGTTGATTGTGTTATTTATATTAATATTATTTTTAGTAGCTTAATTAGTTTCATGTTTAGTACGTAGCTTGAATTAGTTGATGTTGATGTTGAACGTAACTAGCTGCACAGGTTCTGATTGATACAGCAGGTTGGGCTAGAAAGCATCAAACATTTTTAATATAAAAAAAATATACACATACGACGTCAGCTAATAGGCTACTAGCCGACGTCGTATCATTATTATTATTTTTTTTAATACATACGACGTCGGTTAATAGAGTATTAGCCGACGTCGTATGTATTATTTTTTTTTTTTAAAACACATACGACGTCGGCTAATAGCCTATTAGCCGACGTCGTATGTATATATATTTTTTAAAATACATACAACGTCGGCTAATAGTCTATTAGCCGACGTCGTATGTATTATTATTTTTTTAAAACACATACGACGTTTTTTTTAAAACACATACGACGTCGGCTAATAGCCTATTAGCCGACGTCGTATGTATATATATATATTTTTTAAATACATACGACGTCGGCTAATAGTCTATTAGCCGACGTCGTATGTATTATATATTTTTTTTTAAACACATACGACGTCGGCTAATAGGCTATTAGTCGACGTCGTATCATTATTTCTTAATTTTAAAATACATACGACGTGGGTTAAATAACCGACGTCGTTTATTTTCTTATAACGTCGCTTTAGTCAACGTCGTACGTTAGCCGACGTTAAATGGGGTCATTTAGCCGAAGTTAAAGCTATTTTCTGTAGTAGTGTTTGATGCAAGATGGGTAGAGCTCGTTATGTGTTGAAAGTCTCTTATGATTTCCTGATAAATGGGGCCTGTAGTGGTCAAGTCATCCCTATAAGGGAGTACAAGGGGTCTAAGGCAGGGTGATCCTCTTTCTCCCTATTTATTTATTATTTGTGTAGAGGATCTCTCTTTACTTTTGCAACGGGCTCAACTACAAGGAAATATTCATGGCTGTAGGTAGGGGTGTCAAAGTGGGCCGAAGCCCCGCAGATTAGCTCGCCTCCGCCCCGCGATGGGGCGGGTTAGGGCCGCAAGAAATTAGGCTTGCGGAAATGCGTGCCTATCGGGCATGGCTCGCGGAAGGCCAAAGCTCGCGCGGGTTGCGGGCTAGGCCATATTTAAAAAATAAATAAATAAATTATATATATATATAATATCTTTTTTTTAAAAAAAAAACCATATATATAATATCTTAATTCTTAGGCAGTGTGTAGATCTGACTATCTAAGAGTACGCAGAAGGGGAGAAATCCAATAATTCAATAATCCTTCGCCAATTCTTAATTCAATAATTCCTAGAGTACGTAGTTCTTCGGTTCTCCTATCTCCATCCGCCTCCAACTCTATCAAACAATTACTAAAAATAAATCATCAATTCACACATATTTATGAATTACTAAATCGCCTTCAAGTCCAGCAAACATACATATTTATATATTTTTTATACACAGACGGGAACTATAGAGGGAAAATCTGATGCCGAGAGAGAAATAGAGTGTGCTGTTGAACCATAGCTTTAATCACCCTTCTACAGTTCTGCTCAATGCGCGGTATCGATCTGGGAGATTTGGGCGAGGTTTATGGATTTTATGGAAGTTTCCGGTGCATTGAGATGTATCATACACCGTGAGGATGCGAAAGAACGACCAATAAATAGTGTCATATTTCAAGCGGTTTTAACATGTTTATATACTATTTAATGTTTTTTTTTATTTAAGTGATGGCCCGCGGGCCAGCCCGCGAGACCCGCAAGCCCGCATGGGCTGTATAGTTCCAAGCCCGCGGGCTTCGCGGGCCAGCCCACAAAAGCCCGTCAAATAAAAAATCCGCGGTGGGGCAGGCCTAATGAGGCGAGCCGGCCCGCATTGACATCCCTAGCTGTAGGGTTACCAGTGGTGCTCCCTCCCCCCTATATCTCATTTGTTCTTTGCATATGATAGTTTAGTATTCTTTAAAGCAAATGTTGAGGAGGCAAGAAAAATCAAGCATTGTTTATCTATGTATGAGTTGTTGTCTGGGCAGGTGGTTAATTATCATAAATCTAGTGTGTGTTTTAGCATGAACACCTCTGAGGCAGTTAGGGGGGGGGGGGGGGGTGTGGTGCAAGTCTTGGGGTTTCTCAAACTCCTAATTTTGGAAAATACTTGGGACTGCCCGCCATTGTAGGAAGGAATAAGAGAGCAACTTTTTCCTACATTGAGGATAAGATTAGGCAAAGAATTGGCTCTGGGAATAAAAAGCTTTTATCACAAGCAGGCAAGGAAATTCTTTTAAAAAGTGTGGCACAAGTCATGCCTACTTTTTCTATGAGTGTTTTCTTGCTTCCTAAGTCTGTGTGTTTAGCCATCAGGAGATTAATGAATCGTTATTGGTGGGGGTCAGGTAATGAGAGAGGTATACATTAGAAGGCCTAGGATATGTGCCCCAAAGAAGTTTGGGGGATTGGGTTTCAAGGATCTTCGTGTTTTTAATTTAACCATGTTGGTAAGCAGGGTTGGAGGTTCCTAACAAAGCCTGAATCTTTGGTGGCTAGAGTTTATAAAGCCAAGTACTATCAAAATGATCTTTTATTGATGCTACTTTGGGTAATAATCCGAGTTATTGTTGGCGTAGTATTTTGGCAGCCCATGATCTAATCTGCAGCGATATTAGGCGAAGAATTGGGAATGAGGAAAACAATTTGATTTGGGGACACTCAGGGCTCCCAGATGACCCAGACCCCGTAATTCAGACTGTTATGCCTCCTGAATTGGCAGATTCTAGATTTGTTGGCTTGATTGATCAAGACACTAACTCATGGGATCTATCTATTCTACAGGATATTTTTTATACCTAGTGATGTGGCTCGTATTTCTAAAATCCATATTAGCCCAGATTACACTGATTTATGGTATTGGCAAGGAAACCCTCAGGGATGTTATTTTGTTAAGAGTGGTTACAGGCTCATTGTAGCGAACTATATCCACCCGCCGGGGTTTTTTAATAATTGGCTAGCTACATATGTGGAAATTAAAAGTTCCCCCCAAGTGGAAGGTTTTTCTGTGGAAAGCATTGTATGGTATTCTTCCTACCAGCACAAATTTGATTATAAAGAGGGTAGAGGTTGACCCTACATGTTCTATGTGTGCCCTCCATCATGAAGATACCATGCATGCCCTATTTTTGTATGACTATACTCAATCCATTTGGCGTGAATCTCTTCTTCATGTTCTAAACATTACGGTTGATTCTTTTGAAATGTGGTTTGCATTGGCTATGGAATTACTCTCTCCTGATCAGCTTGTTATGGCAGCGGTGATTCTGTATTACACCTGGAGAGCAAGGAACACTGCCGTGTGAGAGCATGCGCTGCCGTCGCCGAGGAAGGTCGTAGGTGCGGCCAACGCTGCTGTCCATGCTTGGGACCAGATTAATACACGTACCAGCCCGCCTCCCAGCTCTGCCCACTCCGTCGTCGGCCAGACTGCTCCCGCTGCCCCCAGATGCTTCTTCGATGCAGGGTTCCATGCAGCCACGAAAGAGCTACGGTCGGAGCTATTTTGTTCTCCCACGATGGCAGCTTCATTGCGGCCTTCAACGCCCATTTACCGGATTGCCTATCACCTCTCATGGCTGAGTCGTTGGCGTGTAAGGAAGTTCTGTCGTGGCTTAAAGAACGAGGGGTGCTTAGAGTTGAACTTCTCACGGATCGTTCCAACCTACAGAGATACTTGTCAGCAAGTAACATTACTTTCCATTCCTATATCAGTTTTATTATAGACGAGTGCAGGTCTATCATGTCCACGTTTGTTCATTGTTTCGTTAATTTTGTTCATAAATTAGCAAATTTGATAGCGCATACTTTAGCTTCTCAAGCTTTGCCAAGCATCTCGTGCTCAGATGGCATGTAGTGACTCTCCCATATGGGAGATTATGAGATCGAGCCTCAATAAAGGTGGTGTTGACTCTTTGTGCTTCAATAGGTTGAGAAAGTATAGATGAACAGATACTACAATATAATAGAGTGAGTAACTTTCAAAAAAAAATATAAAGTATTAACTTTATATACTTTTAAAAAAAAATAAAAAATTAACGCAGTCGACCGAGTCGTACGTTGCAGCAGTCGCCAATAAAGTAATCTCTTTCGAATTCCACGGATGCCGCTGGAAACGTTCGCGGAAGATGTTCGTAGAAGCCATCTCCATCTGCTGCTTTGGCTCTCTGATGGGTACGTATAGAGCTCAAACAAAACAAGAGAAAGAGAAATGGCAAATCATGCAATTCTTATCAATCGTTATGCCATGGAACCGTGTTCACCATTCATGGTGAACACGGTTCCAACGGTGTTAGTACACCGTTATTTTTCTAAATTTTTTTTTTCTTTTTTTTAATTAATTGCGTGACTTTTCTTCTTCATTTTCACATTTCGCGGTTTCACTTTAATTTGAGGTGAGCAATGATTTCGGACATTCATAAATTATGAATTCATGCCTGCACATTCACTTTGGAACCATGCCTACACATTCCCGTCCGAAATCACGGACATTCATAAATTATGAATCCATGCCTGCACATTCACTTTGGAACCATGCCTACACATTCACTTTGGAACCATGAGATTATGAATTTTCTGTTATAAGATTATGAATTTTCTGTTATTAGATTATGAATTTTCTGTTATGAGATTATGAATTTTCTGTTATGAGATTATGAATCTACATTACATTCATAATCTCATTCTCATAACAGGAAATTCATAATCTCATAACAGAAAATTCATAATTTAATAAATATTTTACTTTTATGCGATTATGAATTTTCTGTTATGAGATTATGAATTTTCATTACATTCATAATCTCATAACAGAAAATTCATAATTTGATCAAACGGCGCCGTTAACTCCACATCCGCGATTTTTTTTTTTTTTTGCATAAAAACGATGTCATTTCGACTTGTGTTCACCATTCACGGTGAACACGTTTCTAGGGCATAATTTGCAAATTCTTATACCATGGACCAGATTCATATTGCATCTGAATCTTGGTTCAAAAATTATGTGTATGTAGTTAACACATTTTGTACCTACAATTAAGAATTTTTGTACATGTAAACAAATTGAAGGCACATAGCATGATAATTACAGACACATAACACGATAACTACAGATTCTGTACATATTATGTACTTGCAATGAACAGTTTATATGTCATGTTATGTGTATGTAATTATCATATGATGTGCCATCGTTTTATTTACATGTACATAAATATTTAGTTGCAGCTTTGCAAGTACAAAATTTGAAGGTTATTTTTAGATTAGGGTACACAATGCAATGTAGACCATGGCCGATGATATATAATTTAGCAGCAATTATATCGTGGACCATGGTCCAAAAACGACGTCGTTTTTTTAAGTAAAGAAACGGCTGTCGTTACAGCTTAACGGAGCTTGTATATATTTTTGGTGTGTTAAGTACAAAATGAAACTACAGTGTATCTAAAATGAAACTGCCTCACATATTGTCTTTATATTATCAAATGAAACTGTAATTGAATTGAAATAAAATTGTAATTGTGTTAAAATGAAACTGCAGCAGTGTATATAAAATGAAATTGAATAATAGTTTCACATATTTGAGTGTATATTGTTTAGTGAAATTATAGTTATATCGAAATGATACTATACTTGTGTTGTAATGAAACTATAGTATTATACAAATAGAGTTACTTTTTGCCGAATGACGCGAAACAGGTGTCATTTCTTCTTATTAAAAAAAACTGCACCATTTCTATACCTGGACTACAATATATTGTGGATCGCGGTACATAGTAAAATTAGCCATAATTTAGACTTTGGGCTTCATATAACATATAAAATAATTAAATCATTTTATTGGGCCAACTAATTAAAGTAATAAAAAAGAAAATTATTAGCCCAAATCATCAACTAAGCACTTTGGGCTTGATATAACATATAAAATCGTTTTTATTGGGCCAACTAATTAAAGTAACAAAACAGAAAATTATTAGCCCAAATCATCAACTAACAATCATTATTGTGTAGACCATGGTCCATACAAGTCGTGTGGACCATATTTTATATACTATAAAATAATGTACATTCAGTACAAAAATAATGTACATTTAGCACAAAAATAATGTACATTCAGCACAAAAACAATGCACATTGTATTCAGAGGATGTACATTATTTTTGTACTGAGTGTACATTATATTGTATAATGTACATTTAGTACAAAAATAATGTACATTTAATATATTTAAAATGTACTTTTTGTTATGGTTCACATAACCCTGTGTGGACCATAATTTGCCATCAACTAAGCACAAGTCTTACTAATGGGAAAATACGATCCACAGAGTTGTGTGGACTACGGTCCAAAACGACGTCGTTTTGATAATTTGTTTTTGTGCTCTGCGCACGTCATAGAATAATGAACATTCTGAGGTAAGATAATGTATTTTATGCGTTATAATAGTGTATTATATGTATTAGAATAATATACTTTATGTGTTAGAATTATGTACTTTATGTGTTAGAATAATAAAATTTCATAGGAAAGATAATGTATTTTATGAGTTAGAATAATCTACTTGATGTGTTTGAATAATGTATTTTATGTGTTAGAATAATGTACTTTATGTGTTAAAATAATATATTTTAAGAATTAGAATAATGTATAATGTACTTTATGTGTTAGAATAATTAAATTTTCGGTATAAGATAATGTATTTTATGAACTAGAATAATGTACTTTATGTGTTAGAATAATGTATTTTATGGTTTTTGAACCATGGTCTACACAACTCAATAATGATTGTTATTTATTTATTTATTAAATCCTAATAGCTCAAAAATACTGCATTCATTAAGCCTAATTATTCTATTAATTATTATATTTGTACAAAATAAAACAAAATTTTAAAATAAATATAATATTAAATAAATAAAACTAATTTATTGGTCCAATGGTATCCGGGTTGGACTTCCATTTGGAAGATTATAAGTTCGAGCCTCAGTGGAGGCGTTATTGGTTCTTTGTGTTTCAATAGGTTGAGAAAGTATATGAACAGATACTACAATGTAATAGAGCCAGTAACTTTCAAAAAAAAAAAATAAAACTAATTTATTATAGGAATTAATCTAAATTAGATATAAAAATAAGTGTTTATCAGTTTCCAACAGGCCCGGATTTTGGGCTGTGCAAGCTGGGCTACCGCACAGGGCCCCAAATTTTAGAAGCTCAATATTTTATTTTTACCTAGTTAGTTTAGAAATAAAAATTAAAAGTTTTTAATTAAACTTAAAAGGCTTTATAAAAAAAATGGTAGGAACATGTATTTATTGTATTTTAACTTTGAGGTCTAAGGTTCAAAACATGTGCAAACTATTATTATTATTCCATAATGTCTATTTTTACTTGTGCGTTGCACGGAAAAGATTTGTTATAATATTTAAATTATATCAACGAATATTATATAGTGCAATTGATGAAATATGTTGTATCGATTATGTTTTTTATGTTATCCTTGCTTGAATTCGAGCAAATAATTGCCCAATTATCCGTGCAATGTGCGTGCAATGCACGTGCGATGCATGAATAATTTGTTTGTGTTATATATTTTGATAATAAAATTACGGTATTAGTTTTAAAGATTTTAATTTTGGTAGGGCCTTATTTATTTACTCGAACAGGACCACAAAAATCTAAAAACCGGCCCAAGTTTCCAACACCATTTGACCTATTTTCTATAGTGTCTCCCATATAGATTTGGTCAAAATAAATCAGAGATTAAAAAATATCACATTTTTTCTTTTGTATTTTTGTGTTTGTAATATGATTGAGCAAATCTAATTGCAGTGTCAGATTAAAATAGTTCCACAACGTAACATCTAGTCATTCAATTTAAATATGAAATACAGTAGAAAATAAAGGACAACCAACTAACCAAGGAAAACATATGAATGCATACCGCCAAAGAGTAAATATAGGAATAACAAAAGACCAAGTTTATTTGAAGTAAAAATGTTTGTAATGGGAAAAATAATACTATTGAAAATTTGCATTACGTACTTAACAAATGTATAGAGAATCTAAGTATTCAATCGACACTTGTATTAACTTTTAAAAACTTTTACGGGCCGTTTGGTTCACGAAATGAATTTGGAGGGAATAGGAATGCTATTCCATAGAGAATAGAATAGGTAAGGAATAGAATATGAATTGTATTCTGTTGTTTAGTTCGCTAAAGGAATAGACATTGGAAACTGTATTCCAATGTTTTGTTGGTTAAGGAATAGAAATAGAATATATGTTTAAAAGACAGAAATGCCCTTGTACAAAAACTATTATTATTATTATTATTATTATTATTATTATTATTATTATTATTATTATTATTATTATTATTATTATTAATTTTTTTTATTATTATTAATTTATTATTATTATTATTATTATTACAACAACTATTATATATCATCATCATCATCATCATCATTGTCATATCAAGTGATTAATACTCAAAACAAAATAGTCATATAAATAACAAACTTTTGTAAAGAACATTTAACAATATTCAAAAGAAGCATAACATATGTTATTTTTAACAAAATACTCAAAACAATCCAATGCAAGTTACAATGTTCATAAAATGATTAATTGATAGCAAGGAATCTTCTGATCCATTGTAGTCTTCGATCAGGATCAAGACTGAGAAAGAAAGATACTTTATTAGGATGATCAGTGAGCTTAAACGAAACAAGGTCCATTTCATCATTTGCCAAACCATCAATCTCTTTTAATGCACGTTCAAGCTTCTGAAACATATCCATATCACGATCATATTGAAGACCATCAGACAGATTCTTACCAACCTCTGACATTGTATTGCTTATTAGCTTCGCAGCATTAAGCATATTCTCAGCACATATCTCAATAGCTTCATCATGGCTCCTCTTTCTCTTACTTGAATTGCTTCTTTTTCTACCATCATTTTGTGGCTCAGGTTGTGTACTCGTTAAATCAATATCATCCAAACCAACAAATGCACTATCTTCTGTGTCAGCTCTTATATCATTCTGTTCTTCATCTTATATTTCTTCAACTACGTCATCTGCTGTCTGTGCATCTTTTCCAGTTGCACGATCTTTAGAATATGTTTTAATTTGATGTGGCAGAAAGATTTGCTTGATTTTGATGTTGATGATGCTTTAATTTGATGTGGCTGGAAAAATTGCTTGATGTTGATGATGAAGGAATCGATGATGATGAAGGAATCGGGGAAGGGTAGAATGATACGTAGGGAGAGAACAGCGAGAAAGATAAGGTTAAAATTGAAAAAAAAAAATCTATTCCTGAGGACTCATAAATAAGTTAATACCAGGGAGGGCCCTGGTAATAGCTATTACCTCATCTGAGGTAATAGGCTATTACTAGGAACAATGTTCCTAGTATTACCCGCACAGGTTTAGCTCAATGGTTTAGTGGGCAGTATTTAGAAGAAGAAAAGTATATTAATATTTGATTTAAACTTTTAAAAAGTCTTTAAAAGTCACGAGTACAAAATTGCAGATAGACTACCATTGTAAAAGACAATAGGCGACCATTGTACAATGGTTGCCTATGAGAGGCTCACGGAAAGTCATGGACTTTAATATGTCTTTAAAAGTCTATTACCATTAATATAAAGTTATTGCAGTTTACATAACTTATCAAATTACGACTTTAATAAACTTTTTCTTCTATAATTTAAATAGTTGAAATTCACCCCTTAGACCCCAAACTTCTAAAATTTTCCCATAAACTTTTTTCTACCTAGATATGAACAAAGCAAACACATCATTTATCACCTTCAAATTTTACTATAGGAAAAATGTTTTTTCCCCATGAGTTGTATACATATAGCACATTTTCTCCCTGAATTATTCAGGTAAGCATCTTAGCCCCCTCAATTATTCTAAAAGAGGTGGTTTCACCTCCCCCCCCCCCCCGATATATTAAATTGACATTTCTATCCTTAAAGTGTCGACTTTATTTATTTTTCTTCTCCAATAAATTATTGTGTATACGTAGGGATGACCAAGGTTCGGTTCGAACTATAACCGGACACTATAGCAATCGAATTAAAAGTTTCGGTTATGATTCAGATCCAGAACCCAATATTTGGATTTCAGTTTATTAAAATTATGAATTGAAAAAACTGGATCCTGAACCATGAACCGGCGGTTCCGGTTCCGATTCGCGATTTTGAACCGTCTTTTTAATATTTTATTTTTTATTTTAAAGTAGTCTAAATTCAACAATAAATGTATTTATTTTTTTCAGTTCAGAACATGAACCGTCCATTCCGGTTCGAGATTTTAATAAACTCTAAATATCGGGTTTTGATTCTAAATTGTAATTGGAATATTTCGGTTTGGTTGCTATAGTGTCTGTTTGGTTTGAACTAAATTGTGGTCATAATTTGTTGGAGAATAAAATAAATGAAATATTTATTTTAAGGGTAAATATGTCCATTTAACATTTTAAGGAGAAAAACATATACTTAAATAATTCAGGGGAGAAAAGTACTATAAGTATATAACTCGGGAGAAAAAGTGTTATTTTTCCTTTATGTTATTTTCCCTTTACTATATGTTTCATAATATTTATAAATACTTATATATTTTATTTTTATTCTTTTTATGTTTATATTTGTAACACATTTTTTCTTTTTTTCTTCTTGAACACAGGGCCGTTCCATTACAAATTAGGGTCCTGTGCAATATTTAAATTTGGGCCCCCTTTTAAGTAATTTTTATATATAAATAATAGTTGTTCAAAAATTTGTGTTAAAAATTCAAAATATAATATTGTATAAAAAATTACATCTAAAATTTCATTTAAAAAGTCAGTTCTTCTCAAACCCAGATGAATATTTCAAAAATTACATATAGTAATAGCTCAATTCTTCTTTTCTTTTTACACTTCTCAAATCCAGATGAATATTTTCTAGAAGACATAATTATAAAGTCCTAAGAAAAAAAATAAGAATTTATTTAGAAACTCTATAAATAAATAATTAATCAAGAAACAAATTCTTGAATATATTATTCTGAAATCAGAATTATTAAGTTACGTAAATAAAATAATAAATAAAAATTGTAAAATAATATGTAATTTTAATTTTAATTACCTGTTAAGAGAATTGAAGACCGTATCGCACGAACTGACTTTGTCGTATTTGCGTCAATTCACTAAATTTCGTGCAAATTAGTTGAATTTGTTGTCTGCCTTTGTAAATAATACAAATTAATAATTATACAATTCAAAATTTTACAAATTAATAATTATAAAATTGGGATTTGCCTAATCGGCTAATCTTACAAAGGGGCGAAGAGCACTACATCAGACTAGCAGAGACAAATTAATGAATAATGAAATTAAATATTTAAGGATTACACGCACAACTAACA